TCGCCTCGAGCGACTCTAACGCTTCTTTCGTGCTTAGCAACCTCCCGCGTGCATCCATAACTCAATAGTGTACGCTGTGGGGTTTACCATTTGTTAACGTGTCCACAAATAGGAATCACTTCAAGGCTTGAGCGGTTTGAGTCCGAGCTTGGCTCTGAGTTCATTTGCTTCTTTAATTTCCAGCTCTTCTTTGCTCATCCCTGCGCCGTCATTATCTTTATCCTTTTTCTTGTCCGATTTGTCGGATTTCTCTGATTTCTTCGACTTTTTCGACGACGATTTCTCCGGTGACTTCGATCGAGACTTAGATCGGTGACGCCGACGATGTGGCGATCGCGAGCGAGAACGCGACCTTGAATGGCGACGATGAGGCGAACGACTACGACTTCTGTGTCCACGTCTTCTATGAGGGGAAGCACTGAGAACAGGAAGATAAGATAAACCTTAACTTATTTCCTCGACAACTTAAAAAACTCATAGGCGAAAGTGCACTCACAACTGACTTTCAACGCCGATTCGCTTGATGAAAGACTGCTACTGAAGTCGAATTGCTTCAGTCTGAGATAAATTTTGCTAAAGGAGAAGTCCACGCAAGGCTTAGTATTTGACTCTTGCAGTAAAATGACAACAGCAATGCCAAGAACGGATATAATTCTAAATAGAGATTCACATCCTAAGTGACATTCAAAATATAAATAGCTTACCTCCGGCGCCGACGGCGAGGAGATCTGGAACGACTCCGTCTGAAGGAAGACAAATAAACGACTAGTGATGCCTCTATGAAGTATTTTGATTCTAGAGTTATGCCATGATTACTACAGCACAAAGGAAGCTGTGTATCTATGGCAGTTAAACCTTTGGCTTCCAAGATCTCATTCACAATTCTCCTCACTATCTGTAATACAATCCTTGTGTTTTTCAGTTTAGAGAATTTTATATTGGATCAATCAATAATCCCCTTCTTAATATTTTTCTGTATTCTCATCACTTGTCTGTCTGATGCTGTATTGATACAGTAAGGAGAAATTCTGTTTTGGTCACTCCTGGGAGTAAAAGGGTTAACTAAGGTGAAGGGCGTCCAGGAGTGGGTTTTGGAGACCCGTCTAGGCCTCCCTCTTGTTGAGGTTTTCCCTATTAAGGAAATTTTCTCCGTCGCAACAATCTGTAGATGTCTGTCGCTCTCCAAGACTGGGCAAAAGATGATTGATAATCACTATTTACAACACGTACCTGTGATGTGCAGGTGATCGGCTACGTTTTCGGTTCCTGTCGTGATCACGATGCGAACGTCTTGGCGAATGACTCCGACTTCTACTTCGGCGACGCGGGGACTAATTGAAGAATGAGAGGAAATTTGAATGAGTTCAAGTCTAAGTTGGGCTCCCAAGATAAAACAAACTTGTAAAAGCAGTGCAAAGTAATCCAAGTCACTTATGCACCTATAAATGGTTTGCACGGCCAAGGATGAAGGGAAAGGGAGACATGGGCTACTCATGGAAAATTGACCGAGAGTACCCCCTGAGCAGGGATTTTAACATTTATGCACTAACTTCAAGTTGGGAATTAGAACTGGCCGCCATTTTGATGGACTGAGCTAACTGGAAGTGAGCTAAAGCACAGCCCTGCACCTATTAATCCTTCTCTGAGAAAATGAGCTTATGTCTTATACAAAGGCTGTATTCATTTACAGACATACAGTTTAAGTGATCAAAGGATTTTTAAAGACAAGCATGTGGAGTACAGTGGTTTATTGGGCCATTTATAATCACATAACCAATCTACCTGTTTTTCTTCTTCCTCATCAGACTCTGATTCAACATCTTCCAAATCATCATCAATAAGGCTACGCTGCAAACCAAAAAGCAAAAACCTAAATAACAAACAGGACTGCTTGACATCCCAATGATAACAATTCTGTTCACTGAATCCCTGAATCCTTTTGTTCAAAGAAAAACATTAGCAAAAATGTTTATGTAAATACTCCAAAAATGAATCAATCTTCCTAAACAACATTTTTTCACTTCCAGCAATGTATAATGGGTTGTCTGTTTTCTTACCCTTGGTTCAAGCTGATTGGTGTTTTCTAACACTTGGCGTTTCTGAAAAGAATGGATTGAAATTATGAAAATTATTACAACCTAATTGTCTATTAAAAAGCAGCGCTCCGAGCTGCGACCATTTTGGTCACCATGGTGAGTGAAAAAAATATTTGGTAACTGAAATTCTGGCAAAAGTCGCCAATTGGCGACCAACAGATTAAAAGAGAAACTTACTTGAAAAATTAT